GGAAAGCATCGGCTATTCAACTTACATCAGAACAAAGGAAAAGCTTCACAAAGTTCTGTGCTAGAAGCCAGAGAGATTTCTCCTTCTTGCTATCTGCATAAACGCAAGTCAGCCTTTAGCTGATCCAGACCTTCTTTTCTAAATGCAAGGAATTGCTATTCACTTATCAGATTCTGAACCGCCCGAAGGAATTGCTATTCACTTCTTTTCTCAAGTACATGGTAGGCGGTTTCAGCTAGAGTTAGGAGGAAAGAGCATACAGAATATACATTTCATTTCACCTCTCATGATTTTCCCACAACATAGCCCGACACCAGAAAGAGAAAAGAAGAATACCGAGTTTAGAGGATGATGAGTTTTCCTGCTCATCCGAAGTCAAACTGAAAAGTCCTTCTCTTTCATCATCGTATGAGACCTGATTAAAGACAATTATGTTATCCATCCCATCTAAATACCACAGGATGACACACCTAAAATCAGTGGAACTGACCATGTGAATGTTCAGAAATCAAAATCGGCTGATTTTATATAAAAAAAACATGTTTGAATTTAGATTTCTCCTAAAAAAGCAGAGGGAGAATCAGCTGAAATTGTAGAAAAGAGTTTTGGTGTACCTTCTCTGTGTTGCTAACACTGGAAGTACCAAAATTCTCTTTTAACCCTTCTTCCTGCGAACAAAGAAGCAAAGCAAAGGCAACTTTCAAACCGCTTCCCACCTTGTACAACCCTGAAACGGAAGCTGTATAGAGATTTTTATCAAGCACCTTGAGCTCATTCAGAGACTGAGGAACTTCTACAAAACCTTTCCACGAGTACTGATTCTTCCCCTTTCTTGCCACAAGCTGAGTTACAATAAACTTAATAAAGATGAAATAAAAAAAATCTACTGTTCCAATTTCATCTCTATCCAATTTAAATATCAGAATAGTGAATATAATTCACTGTTCCATTCATAGAATGAGTTCAAGCAGCTCAACAAGGTGAAATGTGACACTCCATAATAACTAGCGGTACAACTTACCCCAATGCTCTCCAATATATTGACCACATCGTATATACGCCGTCGCTCAACCCCTGACATTTGAGGATTATTGAAAACTTAGATCAGATATAACAAACTACATGATCCTAGGATTTATCCTGTTTCTCCCAATTTAATTCAATATAAGAGGGTTTCACCTTGGATCTAGCAGCGATTGTCAATCGTTTGGATTCATTCCGATTTTTTGAAAAATCAATCACATAAAGCAAAAACAAAATTAAGTTGGAATGCTGGAACCAATACCTAATTTTCCAGCAGCATCGTTGAGCTCAATCAAATGTTCATCGTCCCGGTTATATAATCTCAAGAAACTGGATCGAGCAAAAAAAATAAATCACACATAAATCTGCGGAGAACAACAGCAAAATCTGAGAAAAGTTATAGAAATCATGAATTTGTGAGCGAGTGAAAGAGAGAGATACTTGGCGACTAGGACTCCAAGAGATTTCTCCTTGCGACTGTAAGCCTGACGACCGAGAGACTCCATCTCTTGACAAAGAACAGAGGACATATTCCCACGAAAGAGAGATGCGTTTGGTAGGCGAGAAAATTCTTTGAGGAAAATTTCTTTCGGATCTCCGATAATAGCGACCTTGGAGTCGATTTTCAGGCGGGGGTATTCGAATTATGAAAATGGGCGGGTTATCTCTTAATTACGAACTTGACCCTGCCCTCTCTCGTGAACTTCTCCTCGAGATCTGCTTAAATGACGGAAACACCCCTGAACAAATCTCCATGTCGGAAGAGAAAAAGGGTACATTCGTAAAGGTATGTTGAGCCCGGGGGATTAGCATTTGCGACAAAACTTGAATAAATTAGTGACTTGATAGCAATCTCGAGGGGAATCTTGCTTGATATTTTACTCACGTGGTTGAACTTGAGCTAATTGTAACACCTAATCAATCTTTGGCCGGTTCGTAAGAATGAATAAATAACACCTTATGGTTCACGATATTCATTCTCGTTATAAAGAAAAGGTCAAATTTCCTTGGTCTTAATGCATCAAGAAAATACAAAGATGTCCGAATCAAGCATGAGAGAACCAAACAGGTCTGGTCTGTAAAGGAAAAAAAATGTTTAATAGAAAGAGAGAGAGGTAGTAACACACCAAAACCAAACCTATGGCTCCACAACGCTGACTTGTTGCCACTCTCCATCAACAGCTTCTTTCCACAAGGTCACGTTGTTGTTCCCGTCCGAGACAGCCAACAAGTTACCGGTCAACGACCACGACAACCTCCACACCGGTGTCTTGAAATCCTTCAGAACTTTACCTTCCCATTTCTCACCTTCCTTCCCCACTGTCCATATCACCACTGTCCCGTCTTGTGAAGCACTTGCTATGGTGGATTTCGGCAGACCCAAGTTCGGCGCCCAAGCCACGTCCCGGACCCAGTCACTGTGCATCTGAAGAGCCGGGAAGCAGTCCATCTTCCACGAACCATTGTAGAGTTTCCACACTTTCACTGTGTTGTCACACCCACCAGAGGCTAGCTTGTAAACCGGGTCAAGCAGACCAGAGCCAACAAGGGCTCCTGGGGCTGTGGCCGGCGCCCATGAGACTGAAGTGACACCGACTGGGTGGGCTTGGTCTATCCTGGTTGTATCCCAACCGCCATCGGCCCTGGCAGTGAAAACCGATATGTTTCCATCAGATGAGCCACATGCCAAGGAGAGTCCGAGCTCATGGGGAGCCCAAGCAATAGAGTTGACCGACGACTTATGCTCGGTGAAGACATGAGCCTGTGTCCATTCGTTTTGGTTACCTTCTTTCCAGATTATGACTTGGCCATCATATGAACATGAAGCTAGGATCGAACCAAACTTTGGGTGTGCCCAAGCCACCTGCCAAACGGGACCTCTGTGCCCAGTCAAGGTAGCTAGGTGCTGTGACCCACCACTGTTGCTCACGCCAATTATCTTGATTGTGCAGTCAGACGAGGCAGATGCTATACGCTTTCCGTAGTAATCCATCTGCACATCATGGACTGTGTCCTCATGACCTGTTTCGATCTTTTGGGCAGGCATGTTTCAAGAATGTTTTCCCTACGACCAAAGCTCATCGTGTTATAATGGAATTAAAAGATCTGTGTGGAAAAGGCACATAAAAAAGATAGTCCACAGAATAAATTTTCTCGATTGGGGCTTGAGGCAAGATGAGAGCACCTTACTATAAGATTCACTAAAACATCTTACTTCAAACACGCGTCAAACCGGCACACATCATAAACCTGATTACAGAATCCCGGTTTGGCCTACATTAAAGGAGCACAATACAAATCTGACCAAAGGCAAGAGGTAATATATGAAACCACAAGTATAAACCCGGCTTTGTACAATCATTCAGACTTAACATAAAATGTCAGTGAATATAACTCAAGGGTGCTGATAACAGTAAGCAAAACTGTCGCTTTTGTGAATTCCCTGGGCAAGAAACGAGTATACATTATACAAAAATATAGAATGAATGCCAATAAATATTAAAAAAGCATACATAAAAGAACACTTTTTTGAAGTATTTTCATGGTCACAGAACCAAGAACTTCAGAAAACTGGACCAAATTCGTCAAGTAAATCCACGAATCTCATCAATTTTCAGTCAGAGACCAAAAATCACAAGTTGCTCCACTGCCATGGCTAAAGTTTAACCTTAACCACTAATCACACACAATAAACGGGATGGTTCATTAGCAAACACCTCCAAGCCACAAGGGATTACCTTACTACCATCCATAAGCAATTTATCTGCCAAAGGTAACTTCAATAAAAAAAAAATTGATGGTAGTATCAGTAACACTCAAACAAATCGAGCTCCGATGTTCAATTAACCGGGATCTACAGGCAATTTGGTTGATACACTAATATCAAAACCCTAATAACTAGGCACTCGGAGACAATAAACTAAATCGCAGGAAAACGCATGAATCGGATTCTGATGCCACCCAACAAAAGATCTCACAGGAAAATCCCAAGAGACTCAAAATTCTAGCATCTAACATAAAAAATCGAAGAGATTGTCACGTACCAAGAGCGAGAGGCAGATCTACGGAAACGAAATCAAAATCGCCGCGGCAAGACGAAGACGAATCTAGGTGGACGATCCGCTCGGATCCATCGGTTGGAAGAGCAAAACGCCTAAAGACATTACGAGGGGACCTGTACAAGAAACTTGTTTGGGAACAGGGTTAACGTAAATACTGTCCACCGTAAGGATCTGTTTGTTCGGTTACGGAGATAGCATAAACCGCGGAAGTCCAAACAGGGAGAAATAAACCAGGGTTGTTGAGTAGTCGGATCCAAATCGTAAAATAATCGGATGTAAATGACTTTATGCAAATGCCCCATTTTCTACATAAATTAATCTTTTATAAATGAATGGCCCAAGTCTTAATTAGCAAAGCTTCAAGACGTATTTGCTGTTAATTGCTCTTAGTCTTCCTCTTCTCGATTATTATAATTTCTTCGGAAGACCGCAAAATAGCAGACCCCGTCGGACACTCGAACCAAATCGGCTGAAAGAGAGAGAGCACCAAAACGACGTAGTTTCCTCTGCTCAATAGCTGAGTAGGAGATGGCGTTC